CCCCAGGAAAGGGACACAGGGGCTCAGCCATCCCAAAAATCCCCAGGGAGGGACACAGGGAGACTCAGCCATCCCAAAAACCCCCATGGGAGCTCAGCCATCCCAAAAATCCCCAGGGAAGGGACACAGGGGCTGAGCCATCCCAAAAATCCCCATGGATGCTCAGCCATCCCAAAAATCCCCAGGAAGGGACAAGGGGGCACAACTATCACAAAAATTGCCCATGGAAGCTCAGCCATCCCTAAAATCCCTCATGGGAGCTCAGCCATCCCAAAAATTCCCAGGGAAGGGACACAGGGAGACTCAGCCATCCCAAAAATCCCCATGGAAGCTCAGCCATCCCAAGAAATCCCAAGGGAGCTCAGCCATCCCAAAAAAACCCCATGGGAGCTCAGCCATCCCAAAAATCCCCAGGAAGGGACACAGGGGGACTCAGCCAGCCCAAAAATCCCCATGGAAGTTCAGCCATCCCAAAAAACCCCATGGGAGTTCAGCCATCCCAAAAAACCGCAGGAAGGGACACAAGGGGGCTCAGCCATCCCAAAAATCCCCAGGAGGGGACACAAAGGGGCTCAGCCATCCCAAAAACTCCTATGGGAGCCCAGCCATCCCAAAAAATCCCCATGGATGCTCAGCCATCCCAAAAAACCCCATGGGAGTTCAGCCATCCCAAAAATCCCCAGGGAAGGGACACAGGGAGACTCAACCATCCCAAAAATCCCACCCCAGGAGAGGCTCCACCCCCAGAATTCCCGGTGGGATCGGGCCCTACCTGCGCTTCCGGTTCTTGTGGCTCTGGAAGAGAAAAAGGGGGAGAGGCCGGGAATCAGATCCCGCTTTTCCCAGGAATCAGATCCTGCCTTTCCGGGAATCAGATCCCGCCTTTCCTGGGAATCAGATCCTGCTTTTCCCGGGAATCAGATCCCATCTTTCCTGGGAATCAGATCCTGCCTTTCCCAGGAATCAGATCCCGTCTTTCCCAGGAATCTGATCCCGCCTTTCCCAGGAATCAGATCCCGCTTTTCCTCGGAATCAGATCCCACCTATCCTGGGAATCAGATCCTGCCTCTCCTGGGAATCAGATCCCGCCTTTCCTGGGAATCAGATCCCACCTTTCCTGGGAATCAGATCCCGCTTTTCCTGGGAATCAGATCCCACCTTTCCCGGGAATCAGATCCCACGTCTCCGGGGAATCAGATCCCGCCTTTCCTGGGAATCAGATCCCGCTTTTCCTGGGAATCAGATCCCACCTTTCCTGGGAATCAGATCCTGCTTTTCCTGGGAATCAGATCCCGCCTTTCCTGGGAATCAGACCCTGCCTTTCCCAGGAATCAGATCCCACATTTCCCAGGAATCAGATCCCGCCTCTCCCAGGAATCAGATCCCGCCTTTCATGGGAATCAGATCCCACCTTTCCCAGGAATCAGATCCTGCCTTTCCTGGGAATCAGATCCTGCATTTCCCAGGAGTCAGATCCCACCTTTCCCGGGAATCAGATCCCACTTTTCCTGGAAATTGGATCCCTCCTTTCCCAGGAATCAGATCCCGCCTTTCATGGGAATCAGATCCTGCATTTCCCGGGAATCAGATCCCGCCTCTCCCAGGAATCAGATCCCGCTTTTCCCAGGAATCAGATCCCGCCTTTCCTGGGAATCAGATCCCACCTTTCCCAGGAATCAGATCCCGCCTTTCCCGGGAATCAGATCCCGCCTTTCATGGGAATCAGATCCCACCTTTCCCAGGAATCAGATCCCGCCTCTCCCAGGAATCAGATCCCGCCTTTCCCGGGAATCAGATCCTGCTTTTCCTGGGAATCGGATCCCATCTTTCCTGGGAATCAGATCCTGCTTTTCCCGGGAATCAGATCCCATCTTTCCTGGGAATCAGATCCTGCCTTTCCCAGGAATCAGATCCCGTCTTTCCCAGGAATCTGATCCCGCCTTTCCCAGGAATCAGATCCCGCTTTTCCTCGGAATCAGATCCCACCTATCCTGGGAATCAGATCCTGCCTCTCCTGGGAATCAGATCCCGCCTTTCCTGGGAATCAGATCCCGCTTTTCCTGGGAATCAGATCCCGCCTTTCCTGGGAATCAGATCCTGCTTTTCCTGGGAATCAGATCCTGCCTTTCCTGGGAATCAGATCCCACATTTCCCAGGAATCAGATCCCGCTTTTCCCAGGAATCAGATCCCGCCTTTCCCGGGAATCAGATCCCGCTTTTCCCAGGAATCAGATCCCGCCTTTCCCGGGAATCAGATCCCGCCTCTCCCTGGAATCAGATCCTGCTTTTTGTGGGAATCAGATCCCACATTTCCCGGGAATCAGATCCCGCTTTTCCTGGGAATCAGATCCCGCCTGTCCCAGGAATCAGATTCTGCCTTTCCCAAGAATCAGATCCCACCTCTCCCGGGAATCGGATCTCGCTTTTCCTGGGAATCAGATCCCGCCTCTCCCGGGAATCAAATTCTGTCTGTCCCAGGAATCAGATCCCGCCTTTCCCAAGAATCAGATCCCGCCTTTCCCGGGAATCAGATCCCACTTCTCCTGGGAATCAGATCCCACCTTTCCCGGGAACCAGATCCTGCCTTTCCCAGGAATCGGATCCTGCATTTCCCAGGAATCGGATCCTGCTTTTCCCAGGAATCGGATCCTGCCTTTCCCAAGGCTTCCAGGGCTGGGATTCCCAGGATTCCCGGGAATTCCATCCCAATTACCATGAGGAATGTGTGGTCGTCCTGCTTGAGATCCGCCTGGAGCTGCCGGGCCTCGCTCAGCAGGGCCTGGTTGTCCCGCTCCAGCTGCTCCACCTGCACGGAATTCCAGGATTTCCAGGATCAGCCAGGTTGGGAAAGAGCTCCGGGATCATGGATCCCAACCCTGGATCCGACCCCGCCGTGGTTCTGATGCCACATCCAACCTCAGCCTAAAAACTTCCAGGGATGGAGAATCCACCCCTTCCCTCCCTGGGCACCCCATTCCAAGGGCTGATCCCAATCCATGGAAAGAATTCCCTCCCGATATCCAACCTAAACCTCTTGTCCTGCTGCTGGTTCCTGGGAGAAGGGAATGACTGGGAGGTGGGAATAGTTGGGATGTGGGTTGGGAAGGAGGAATAATTGGGATGTGGGTTGGGAAGAGGAATAAATTGGGATGTGGAATAGAAGGGGGAATAGTTGGGATGTGGGACAAGAGGAATAGTTGGGATGTGGGAGAGAAGGGGGAATATTTGGGATGTGGGTTGGAAGGGGGAATAATTGGGATGTGGGACGGGAAGAGGAATAAATTGGGATGTGGGAGAGCAGAGGGAATAGTTGGGATGTGAGATAGAAGGAGGAATAACTGGGATGTGGGTTGGAAGGGGAAGTTGTGGGGCGGGAAAAGCTCCCTCCTGATCCCTCTTTTCTCCGGGATGAGCCCCTTCCCAGCTCCCTCAGCCATTCCCAGATTTCCAGCCCCTTCCCAGCTCCCTCAGCCTCTCCCCATGGGAATTGTGTCCCTTCCCTGGCCCTGCTCCGGCCCTTCCCAAGGTGAGATCCCGGAGCTGGTCCCACCTTTTCCTGGATCAGCTCCTCCTTCTCCTGGATCTCCTCCTGCAGCTGCTCCAGCAGCGCCTTCTCCTCATTCCACAGGAACTCGTGGAGCTTCCGGAATTCCCGCTTCACCTGCCGCTCCAGCCGCTCCGCTTCCGACTGGGAAAGGAGGGAATGTGCCAATGGAATCCTGGCCTGGATCCGTGTCCTCCCTCCTTCCCACCCTCTGGAATCCCTTTCCTGGCTCCAGGATGGGATCAATGCCCCACCCAGGACATTCCAGCCCCAGCTGTGCCGGGATCAATCCCACTTCCAGGTGGGAATTGTCCTCCTAGGTCCGTGTCCTTCCTTTCCATGACATCCCATCCTGGATCCGTGTCCTCTCTCCTTCCCTCCCTCTGGAATCCCTTTCCCAGCTCCAGGATGGGATCAATGCCCCACCCAGGACATTCCTGCCCCAGCTGTGCCAGGATCAATTCCACTTCCAGGCGGGAATTGTCCTCCTGGATCCGTGTCCTTTCTTTCCATGACATCCCATCCTGGATCCGTGTCCTTCCTTCCCACCCTACTTCCAGAATCCAGATCCTCCCTCCCTCTGGAATCCCTTTCACGGCTCCAGGATGGGATCAATGCCCCACCCAGGGCATTCCAGCCCAAGCTGTGCCGGGATCAATCCCACTTCCAGGTGGGAATTGTCCTCCTGGATCCATGTCCTTCCTTTTCCTAGGATCCCACCCTGGATCCGTGTCCTCCCTCCTTCCCTCCCTCTGGAATTCCTTTCCCGGCTCCAGGATGGGATCAATGCCCCTCCCAGGGCATTCCAGCCCCAGCTGTGCCAGGATCAATCCCAGTTTTTCCCGTTGGGAATGCCCACCTTGTTGTGCTTGGAGATGGATTTGTAGGAGCGCCGCACAACCCCGAAATCCTTGGCTTTCTCCCGCAGGGACGATTCCATGTTCACCAGTTTGGCCTGCGGGGGGGGAGGAGACACCCTCAGATTCCCGGGATTTCCAAAAGGTGGGAAAACAAAGCCCAGAGTGGGGAGGAGGAAGAGGTTTGTTCTATAGGGAATCCTCCTCCCTGTTTTTAGGGATGTCCATGAAATCCCAGCCCCATCCCACCCCCAGACAGCCCCGCAGTTATCCCTGTTTTATCCCCGTTATCCCGGTTTTATCCCGGTTATCCCGCCCCTTTGGAATCCTGGCTCAGCCTCGGGGGCTGACTCAGGCGGCCAACGGCTCTTTTCCCGCCTGGAAAACGCCGGGAAAAGTGCAATTCCTGGCGCGATTCCCGGCCCGGCTCCTCCTCCCCACGGAGCTCGTCCCGCCCCACATCCCACATCCCTCCTCCCTCCTCCTCCGGCGAATTGGGCAATCCCCAAATCCCAAACCCCCAAATCTCGGGCGCCGCCGGGAGAACCGGCACGGCCGGAATCCCAACCATCGGGACGCCGGATCCCAACCATCGGGGCCGCCCCATCTCCCGCTTTTCCCGTCTCTCTCCTCACCCTGAAACCCGGCTCCTCCTCCTCACGGAGCTCGTCCCGCCCCACATCCCTCCTC